CCTGCAGTCCCTGCTGCACTCAGCCCCCACGTGACCAGGTTCTGATGCACATGCTAAGAGCTACAGCGCCCCTGCCTCCCCATCTTCCCTCCACACCCCGCCGCCCACAAGTAAGCCTCAAGCGTTTAGCCTGGAAGTTAGTGCCATGTTTACCTACCTGCTGCCAACTGCAGACTACCCTCCTCTGCATTTTCACTTTCTTCCCCGGGACACCTACCTGTGCTCCTCCTACTAAGCAATGCAAGTCACAGAACAAAATATTTTAATGTGATGAGAGAAAGTGTATTCTCTAGCATATAATTCTTATTGAAAACATTTGGTATGATTCCTAATAAGATGCCAGGTGTTCCTAGCACCCCATACATTTGTGCTTTGCCATTACTTACCTTACATTAGTTACCGTGCTATGTAAGCAAGTAATACTTGTGTAACACAATCCCATATGTGAATCCATTGTCCAGGTTTTTATTAAGATGATCTGTGTCTTCTAATGCAGGTAATACAGTAGTCAAGTTTTTTTAAAAAAAATAATTAAAACCTCTTCATAACCCATGAATTTTATCAAATGTAAAAAGCAGCAAGTCATTTTTTTAGTGCCAAATAGCCTCGTGAAAAATATACTCATGCTGAATTCATTCTTGTCTCGTGGAGAGTTCAGAGATGGGAACTTGCTTTGACTGGTAGATGTTTCTGTGGTTTTGGAAACCTCTCACATTACTCTGTGTTTTGTGAGCAGTGTGGGACCCACCTTCTTTCCCAGGCCTTTTCTTAAAGAATGGGGGAGGCCAAATTGGAGCTGGGAGATTGCACTGCTTACCTGTGAAGGCCCTGGAGCTTTCTCTTAGACAATGAGTCATTTGTAAGTGTCCGAACAAAGGAGAACCACGCAGGGGTCCATTGTTTAGCTTTAGTTTCCCGTCCTAGGAAACACACCATTATGGTATCATAAAGAATTTTGCAGTAGTAAAGGGACTGTTTTCATCATGGACATGTGAAAACATCAACTTGAGGCATTGGTTTCTTCAGGTTTTCTCAGTAAAATTAAAAGAATTAACAAATACCTAATGTTACAGATGCGTAGGAATCAAAATAATTATTAGAATCTACTTACATTAAGTATTCATCCAATTTATGCTTTCTTGGTTTCTTTATCTGTTTTGTCTTGAGCATCTTTTATCTGATTAAGTATTTGACCCCATTGACTTTAATAATATTTACTCATTTTTGTTATAAAAATATGCTGATTGTAATAAGGAAATCCACGTGGAGGAACATGTCAGTTCATGGAGTCCCCGTTCCTGCTTCTTCCCTTCTCTTTTCCTCCATGTCCAACTGGACTCTGTCCCATAACAGTCCCATAAAATTCTGGTATATCCTGGAATTTTTCAATACATAGATAAGTATAAACTTAAAGAGCATGATAATAACAGCACCCTTTTTTTCACTTACTAAAGCTTTCTATTGGATTTTTAGTTTTACAAGGTATTCCTTAATGGGTTTTTGTTTTTGATGAGTACTGTGCATTTAGTGGGGTTTTCCAAGGTGGCTGTCCGAGTAAACTGCTTGTTTGGTGAAGGTATGTTTCAGATCCAGTGGACTCTGTGTTACCATCTAAGGCAGAGTGCAAATGTTATTCCTTCCACACTTTCCCTAGACAGGAGATGGTTGGGCTTGGGGTAAGCTGGCTTCTGGTGCCAGGCCGTGTGTTGGAATCAGAGAGGGTACAGCTCTGTAGTAATTCTGAGGCACGCTGAGGACCTACGATGCCTTTCAGAAACAATGCTATGAAACACTCCTCTCTGAAAAATATGTTGATTTTCTAAACTTGTTGAGTCTTGATTGCATGTGGCTGTGGCCCAGAAATTCTCCTGCGTAACTTGCCCAACCTTGTTTATTGGTTTCGATGATACGACTCATCAGAACAATTTTGTTTAAAGGGCAGCAATTTGGTAAATTTATATTCTGAAGAACTGTTTTTCTATACTTCCAAAAGCAAGTAAAACTTGCGGCTAACTGTAAATTTTAAAAAATCAAATGGGTATTTGAACGTCTATTACTTGCTAATCATCATAAGGAATGAAAAGAAAAATGTCTCCGTTTATTTAGTTAATAGACTGAAGAGCCTATTAATATTAACAAAGGACAAATAAACTTGGTTAAGTGTTTAATGCTTCAATGTAAATGATGAGAAAAGACATTATCAGCATTTATTTACTCTTGCCTTTAAAAGAAATTTTAATAGCTTTCTTACTATCATCATTATAATTCTACATTTATTTTTTTCCAGCTTGATTGGGGTGTAATTGACAAAGTTGTGAGATACGTAAAGTTTACATTTTGGTGATTGTATGTATGTATACGTTATGGAAGGGTTCCCACCATCAAATTAACGCATCCACTTCACATAGTTTCTTTTTCTTTTCTTTATTTGTGTGAGAACATTGGAGCTCTGCTCTTTTAGCAGATTTCAATTATATAATACAGCGTTATCAGCCTCAGTCCCCATGTTTTACATTAGTGCCTCAGACATTACTCCATTGAAAGTTTGTACCCTTTACCTCTCCCTGTTTCCCCCACCTTACTCTTGGCCTGAAAAAGAAAAATTAATTAATTCAGCAAACATTTATTAAGTCTCACTCTATGCCGCACACTTTGCTAGGCCCGAGGGACAGCATGGAGTAAGGTGCTCTTCCTGTTCTCAGGGACTGTAGAGACTAGTCCAGAGGCATATTGAAGCAGGTGCTGTGATAGAAGCAAGGGCCCAAACGAGCATCCAGGGAGGGGTGGCCCACCGCACACCGGGAGGGTGTCCTGGAAGGAAGGGCTTTGCAAAGAGGTCCTGATTCTCAGCTGTGCTGCTGGTACTTAAGGTGTATTTGAATCACCGGGGTTCTTGTTAAAACGGAGATTGTGATTCATAGATCTTGGGGTGGGGCTGCCAACGAGTGGCAGCGATTTAAAGGAACCATCTGTTGACTTTGTACACACCCGACAATTCAGAGGGCTAGACAGAAAGGAGGCCATTTCATCCACAAGGATGGTCTTGAACAGAAGAATAGCGTACAGAGGCCCAGAGAGATGAAAATGAGGCCCGCGGAGAGGGATGGAGCCTGGCATTGGGGAGAAGTTGGTAGGAATGGGCCCTGTGGCTGCCCTTCATGCCTTTACGATTGAATTTTTGGTGAGAGGACTGAAAATAGCATCCTGTAGATGATGGGGAAAGGGCGGTTTTAGGTCGGGTCCTGACCTTACTTTTCCTGTTCAGGAGACCCCCATGGTGGGGCTGGGAAGGATGGAAGGCAAGACCTATATGGTGTCTAATGCAGCTGTTCAGGCAAAATATAAGGGGGTCAGGAAGGATTTGTAGGACTTGGACTGGGAGGAAGAAAACCTCTTTGAGAAGAAACGATGTTCCTAGTGAATTAGAACCCTGACACCCTGGTGTCAGAGAGAAAAGCACGTTGACTGGAGCAGGAAGCATGTCCATATAGAAGAATAGCACAGGGGTGAGGCTGGGGACAGGTAGAACTGTAATTTGGGTCACTTTAAGTGCCACAGCCCCCCGAGGTTAAGCTCCTTTTTCTCTATTAAGATTTGATTTTTGGAGGTGAAGTCACTGGGACAAAGTAAGGAGCATTACTTTGCAGCCAAATACTTTCCTCACGGCACCATCAGTAATATGTGACACTATCATTTTCATCTAAGGTCTATTCAATTCATTACAGTCTTCAGTGATGCGATAGTTTTAGTCCAGGGAGACTTGGTGCTAGAGTGTGGTAATCTGGCGCGGGGCGGTGGGGGGTTTTGGGGGGAGGTGATTCCAATGTTCGGAGGCTGGGGAAAAGGGAAAACTATATTTCGATTAGCCTAAGTACGTAGGTTATCTAACTGTCCAAGTTGAAAGATTCAGCAAGGAACTGAAAATGCGAGTGGCACTGGGGTTCAGCAGGAAGATCGGGCTGCAGGTGGGAGTTTGAGATTCATCCCTATAGGGCAGGGTTAAAGTGAGTAAAACAGACTCTGCAAGAGACACGGGTAGGAAGAGAGTTGAGTCAAGGCTCGGACTTGGAAATGTCCACACTCAGGCAGCCAGTGTGAGACGGTGGGACTTCAGAGATGCCAGGGAACGTGAAGCACAGAGATTTTGTTGATAAGCAGAAACGCGTTTGCTGCGAGAAAGAGAAGTTGGAGTGGAGAGCCTTTAAGTTTGGCAAATAAGGAGTGAAGAGCACCACCTGGTGTTAGACTTAGGTATTTTTTAAGTGAAGTTTTTTTTCTCATCGAATTGATTTCCCCCCCTTTGTGTGTGTGTTTTATTTATTTATTTATTTATTTATTTATTTACTTATTTATTTACTTATTTATAAATGTATCTTTATTGATTTCAGAGAGGGGAAAGGAGAGGGGGAGAGAGAGAGAGAAACATCAATGATGAGAGAGCCATTGATTGGCTGCAGACCGCTACCCAGGCATGTGCCCTGACAGGGAATCGAACCCTAATCGCCTGGATCCTAGATCGACGCTCAACTGCTGAGCCATGCCCGGCCGTGCTGTGTGGTTGTTTTAAATTTTTCATCTTTTTTTTTGTAATATGGCAGCCTGGTGCGTGAACGGTAGCCTGGTGGGTGAATGGGCTCATTTTCAATCAGCAGTATGGGGGGAAGTCCTACCAGTTTGTTTTGTTTATGCTTTGATTTTCACTTTGCCAAGAGCTTGTCCCCCATGGCTCCTTCCGATCCCTCACTGTATCACAGAGGACACGAGTTCATTACTTGCGGTTACTGGTTACAGCCGCCCCGCTTGCCTCACCATCTTCCCTGCGCTTCTGCTTCTAATACATAAAAAAATAAGTGAGTCTAGGCGAAGACTCCGTTCAGACGTGATAGGATCCTGAATATTCGTTTTACGTTTTCGCTCAGTCGTTAGTGCAGGAGTTTGAGTTGACAAGCTTAAAACTTTTGAAATGAATGACAGTAGAAACTTTTTTTTTAACCCTCAAGGAAAAGCTACATCTTTGAAAACTGCGCAGCCGTCGTGGGTGAACTTGCCGAGACCACTCCCTAAATCCAACGGGTGCTTGAAAGGCTCTGCGCTCCGCAGGGCAGGAAGCCCCGCCTCTGCCGCCAGCGCCCACAGTGACCTGAACACTTACGGCCGTAACTGTGAGTCGGCATAGGTCACCCTTTGGGAGCTGTTGGAACTGTAGTTATGTGAAAAATGAGTGCGCTGGAAGTAATTAAAAGAGTTTTTGATTCTGTGATTTAGGGGAACTTATGCATACTGCCTCTTCTTTCCCCCACTTTTTTTTTTTTTTTTGCTTTTTGCTCTGAAAGTTTGGCAGGAAAAACATTCTTTCGTTGACATTCACTTTTGACAAATGTGCTACGAAACACTGAAATATTTGTGTTGAAGGCCCCTGGAATTATTATTTATTTATTTTTGCATGAAGGATTCTAAAGGGTGTCTTTGGAATGGATAGTGCTTTTAGGTTTGTTTAAGGAAAGAAAGCAATCTAGGGGCCATCGAATCCAGCTGAAAATCAGGAACAAGACAACTTCAGTTCCATTTATCTTGTAAAAGACCGAATTTTGTAGATGTGTGTTTTATAATCTTTGGATGCCAAGTTCAGTTTAATATTATATTATATTATATTAATAGTATATTATAACTTCAAGCCTAATTTTAAGTAATTTAAATGCAGGAGAATATTTTTAAAGTTGATGGTTAATGTGAATTGTTTTATGTGTATAAAATGGGTGAATTAATTGAGCTCTCCCTTTTCATTCAAAAGAGGTATTTGGTCTAAGTACTTATTTGCTCATTTAAATTTTCTCACAGAATTAGTTAATTTGAACAATTTTGGAGTGCCAGCTGTGTGCAGGCATCATGACAGATGTAATGAGAGATACGGGTTATGAAAGAAATGGTCCTTTCTGAAAGGTAGTTGAGAAGAAAGAAGATATTTATGTAGAGGGATAACTAGAATACCAGATAAAACAAGATGTAAGGGTGTGGTGGGGAGGAGGGGACTTCTTTCTGCTCTAAGGAGGAATCGATTTCTTCTTCCTGGGGAGGAGACAGGGACACAGCAGAGTCGTGGTTAGTGAACCTTTTGGGCGTGGAGCACTATTACATGGTTACCATACATTATTTCATTTTTCCCCCCTCTCAAATAACTTCTGCCGTTACTGACTTTATATGTAAGGTGATTCGGGCCCAGAGAGGCTGTCGCTGGCCCAGGGGCACTCAGCCAGCATGTGAACAGAACCGAGAACCGAGGCTGAGGCGCCGAGTGCGTGAGTGCATTTCCGAGAGCTCGCCTAGCAGGGTAGCTGGTCTTTCTTAGTAAGGAGCTGTCTACCGGGACTTTGGGGAACCTGGCCTGTGTTACTTAAAATCAAGCAGGATCGTTGTCCGCTTATTGCCTGGGTTTTAAAGCGGTGGCACGATCAGTGGGGTTGGCACGGGGCAGATCATTATGCATTTGGAAAGGTAGTTCACACGTGTGCTATTTTCAGGCCATTTCCCTTGCAGCTTTCTCCGTGTGCAATGTGGATTTTAAAAACAAACGGCATCCACAGCGTGCTCCCCGAGGACCCCGCGACGCTGGAATTCGTGTCCCTGGAAGCAGACAGGGTCCGCGGTGTCACCACCCGGGCTTTTACCATTGACAGCCATGTTGACTCGGCCACCGTGTCAGCGCCGAGCCTGACACTCCTGAGGCTGCGAAGTGCTTTTGTCTGTTCCTTTTTGTCTTTTAACAAAGGGGTTTCCCCTCTCCCCACAGAGCCCGCCTGGTGGCGACGTGTCCCTGCTGCGGATTGAGCACTCGGTCCCTGAGTCTCTTTCTCAGCTTGATTTGCGAGCTGGCCCGGTGGGTTTTGTGTGGGCCTCGGACCTTGCAGACCCCCCTCCGTGCTCACTCACTGAGAGCGAGCATGAAGGGCGCGGGAGGGAACATGGCTGCGGCTTTTCCTGCCTGAGCGCCTCTGATCCTTTTAAATGACTGTACCAGGAGGATTCCGCAGTTGTACAGAAACGGATATTTCTTCCAACGTATTGATCAATTCTACACTCGCCCCACCGGCTGGCTCAGAGGGGCACTATGATGCTACTTTACTGACGCTGCTGGTGCTGGGATCCTACAGCCTTTGTGTGGCTCCTTTGTTAGCCACGTTTACCGGGAACAGAAGTACGTCGATGGTTTCTGGTTTGATTCTTCTTTGTAAGCATGCTCTTAATTTTATTCAATAAATCGATGTAGCATCTTTTGATTGCTGTTTTTGAAGCTCGTCATTTATGTTAATTGCAGCATTTCTCGGACATGCTTTAAGTTGTCAGTGATTCTATATAGAACTGACTGGTTGTATATTTTATGTGTTTCAGAGCTCAGTATAATTCAGCAGCATTGCCGATGCGGTTGGCACATGAAATGACTATTACCAAAGATTATTGGATGGTCTTGTTTCTGATTAAATAGCTAGTAGTTTTTGTGTATGAAGCTTATAGTTGTACGAGTGTAGAAAAATGCTTTCCTAGAATTAAAATGAAAACATCACATCTTTGGTTATTTTACTCATTATATCCAAAAATATTAAAGATGTGTGCTTTTTAAAGATTACCTTAAAACATGAGAAATCATTGTGAGCTGAGATTTTCCTATTTCTGATAGTGATGGATCATGTCAGGAAATAATCTTCTGGTCGGTGTCTTGGTTCTTATTGGGTTGAGCATTTGAACCCGTCTAAGGGGTGTTTTCTTGCTTTGTCTGCTCATTTCTTTGTGATGTGATAATGTTGGGAGCATCACTTCAGAACTCCTGAGATCACATCGAGCTGTTGCAAAATTAGCATCGGGTCCTCAGTACTTTGAGATCCTGTGGAAATAACATTACCAAGTCTTAAAGTGACTGAATCAAGATATATAAGACAGTGAGTCTCTGTTATTTGGGGGATTTTAGCTGGTTTTTGGGTGTGTGTTTAAGCATAGAAAATTTTAAAGTTATGATACTAATTTTCCTTTTGGATATTAGCATGAAACATTGCACAGTCGCTTCTAGGTCAAATGTGCTCTTTTGTAGAGAGGTTAAATGTTATAAGCTCTTCCAGAACCAGATAGCTGAAGTCCAGTTTTTAAGATCATTGGATAAGAATATGTTACGTTTTGCAGGTCTTGAACAGAGTGGAAGGTCTGAGGACATTGTGCCAATGTGGAAGGGAGTCTTTGGAGAGTGTATAGTTTCGCCACATTAGCAGATATGAAGTCCAAGCGCTTCCCTCTCCTTGCATTTTGGCCACAAAAACGTGTTTGTTTTTGAGAGACAGCTGGTGAGAGGAAACAGGAGAGATGCACACCAAAGCTGTTTCCTCTCTCTCAGAAACAGAACAGCAGGCTGACTGCAGAGATGGAACATCCTTCCCCTTGACCCTCGCGGCCAACCCTGGCATAGATGCTGTGATTCGTAGAAAAGGTTCATTCAGCTCTGACTCCTAGTTTCCCTGGGAACTCCTGGAGTTGGACAGGCCTTCACTCCCTTAGCCTCAGTATTCTCACCTGGTGGATGGGAGGGGAGGACTTGGCACTTGTATTTTCCTCATTACAGTAAGCTGGTGCCTCATCATCTGCAGGGAGGGGCTTGGAGTTGTTGAAGGGATGAAGCTGACAGAGGGAAGGATGAGTCTCATTTACCCTCAGTCTCTTCTTCATCATAGGATGGCGGGTGGGAGTTGGCTCGCCTGCCAACACTGGTCAGTTGGTAAGAATCACCTGGAGTAGAGTATTGACGGTTTTTCAGGCTGCTTCCAGGTTCAGAGCAAAAGTCTGTGTTTGACTAGTGATGTCTCGCAAGGGCGAGGAGGGGCTGACAGGCCACATATACCCTGGTCCTGTATTACAAACATGCTTAATGCTTGTGCATGTCTAAATGGGCTATTTAATAAGAAAATACTGTCATCCAGATTGCTATCAATTTTGCTTTTGTTCTTTTAATGTTTTTCCAGGGTATATATGAGACATTCTAGTTATTACAAGTTGACTGATTTTGCTTTTGGAATTTGAAAGCTTAGACTTCAGTAGCGATTTGATTTCAAGCCAGGTGAACAGATGATCTGGCGCAGTAGGGAGTGTTAAGCAGATCCACGAAAAATTCCAGAAATGAACAGAATGTTGGCTCTGTGTGTATATACATAATTTAATAAACAAAACAAATGCTAATCTTAACTAGATGCTAAAACATAGCATGAAATGTTAGTTTGCAAATAAAAGTCTAGAGCAATGAGAAGCCCTCCTCTAGCAGGAAAGTCTTTGCTTCTGCTTGGGTTTCTCTGAGGATCGCTCTTCATTTTCTCTTTAGATTCAGTTATCTCCACCGCCCCCCATCCCTCCCTCTCTCCCTCTCTCCCTCCTGCCCTCCCTTGTCACTTGAACTACATTTTGAGCATGAGGAAATGAAAACTAAGGATTCTGGAGAATCTGTTATTCTGGCATAATTGAGACAGCTAGGACAAGGATGGAAACCGAACGGGCAATTTTAAACTGTATGCTAGAGCTGGCTAAGACCTAGGTGAGCACATGTGGAATTTCATGTATTGATTCTACAGACCAACTGTTACTGAGTGGTCGGGGCCCCTGGGGCACTGTGTTTAGGAGAATTCTGAGCAGAGGTTTGGTCTCGGTGGGACTGAGCACCATAGTCAGTCAGTGGGGGCTCATGAGCTGAGGTGCTATCTGTTTCCACACCTGATACTCAGTCCCACTCATTATACGTGGGTGAAGTGATTCAGTACAGCCAGGTAGTGGCCATATCAGGACTAGAACTCGCTTATTAAAGATCCCACCGTTAATGGAAACTATTACGCTTCTCTTATATTATATTGGAACTTTTGCCGCTGAAGAGTGTATGATTTGGATATGACAGTTGAGGACAAGAGAAAATTTAAGTATCATCTGATACTAACCAGCTGCCATGGTGGGAACTGAAATAGAGGGCAGGAGAAATGCTTAAATGACATCATGACTCATAGTGGCATCCTTCAAGTGCTTTTCACTAGAAAGCAATGGGTCAGCTCAGAGGAGAGTGTTGAGAGAATTGATGGTAAGATGTGTCAGTGTTGGTCATAAAAGTATGTACAGCTCAGTACAGTTTGCCCCCCCAAGTAGTAAG